TGTCAATGCACGGAAATGTCAATGTTGCTTCATGTTGATAACTGTAACTTGGTTCCTTCCCAGGGGAAATCTGCAACGTTGAGCTTTTCAAATGGCATAAATTGGACGAAACATTGCGAAGGATCAAACATGGTATTCCAAGTTATTTTGCGGAAATATTAATCACTCTCGTTGTTTTCATTTGGAACTATAGCTCAATTCCAGCTTTTGCGGGAAGTAATACTACTAGTTTTATTACATTTGACAGTAATCTTTTGTTGACTTTTTACACAACTTGAAACTTTATATAGTATGCGATACGAATCCACTTTTCAGCCTCTACTTACGCGCGAAATCTAACTTGCCATAGAGTCAAAACAATACGCCAACAAAATTATCGGATGTAATCTTATAACTTGTATCATCGACGATACATTGAATTGGTTCTCAACTTGAGATTCAACTTTAGTATATTCCCATGATACATAATCATACTAGTAGGTATATCTAATCCTAAAAATGCGGATCAACATAACGTAGCATTATGGGAATTTAGAGTTAATAACGCACTTTGTCATTACAGCTCGTAACTTCTACCATCAATCGCAGTCATAAAACGAAAAAGTTGTACAAAACGCTTTTTAGACTTGAAGTAATGCAGGTAATTTGATTGTTCCTATCGTTTACAGTGTGCGTTTTGCTGTGTAAAAACTGCCAATTCGCGTGCGTTTTGCCCGCCGAGAGCGGAGTGCGCGTGCAACGTGCATCTCCGCCGCCGCGGACGCGCCCGGCGTCGCCCTGGCTGTGACCCGTAGCTATCAGTGAGTGGGTCGGTGGGGCACCCGCCCCACCTCATCCTCCCCCGCCCCTCATCACTCCCCGTCTAGACGCGTGCGGCGCCCGCCCTCATGCCGCCGGAGCAAAGAGCGGGAGGACAACGCGGGGGGAGGTTCGCGGAACCGCCTGGCACTACGCGGCTCTGCGTTCTTCTTTTCTTCTTCTTTTTTCAACGCTGTTTATTTGTAATTTGTTCAATGTTAAAAACAATGCGATACTTAGTTCAAATTTTAGAGAAAAACACGAGTGGAGGAATTGCCTAGTAGTGAGCCTCCTTGACAAATTACAAAATATTTACATATGTATAGAAAAGAAATAGGAACTGATTGTTGCGACGTATTAGCTAAACTTTTTAATCTACTCCTAATCTAGAGACTTTAATTGATTCAAGCTTCTTGAAACCGTGGGCTTCTGCGAACGGAGGCAGTGTCTAGAAATGCGTTTCGCCCTGACGACGGTCGCAGTATGACTGCTAAAAGGTTAGCATACTTGTCTAGGATGCTGCATCTCGTGGACAGTCAAGAAGATTTTGCCTGTTATGTTTATTTACGATAGGGTATCGTGTAACAAATAGTACGCAGTACTCAAAAAATGGTTACCCAGAGATGGTATCTTTGTTATAGAATAAATCAATTTGGGGTGTGTTGTTTCTTGCTGTTCTAATCGTGGCATGTATCTTTGTAAACGTGCGAATAAATATACATTTTATACCCTTTTATATGTTGACCGTTCTAAGAATATTTATTGCAAGACGATACGGAGATTCTTGAAACGTTTAGAAATGAATACATATAGTTGGAATTTTCGAGTATCATTGAAGTGTTGCCAAAATTTAGAGGCTGGCCTTGAAATAGGAGAGATAATTTGCGATCTTTGCGGATAAATAGTTCGAAAATATGCCGTGTTTGAGTTTAAATTAGCCCCTCGCTGTTCGTTTACAACCGACATTCCCAAACTTATCAATCGTCTGCCCCTCTCCCCCCGGCTTTTTTCATGAAAAAAGAAAATAATTGATCTTCATTCTCACAGTATTAATTGAACGAGCAAACGACATTTCCAGAAAAGTAATCAAATTCCCTAAATTACATTTCACTTGCAAAATGTCGTGCAAAGAATCATATCATGTGATTTCTGTGTTGAAGTGCTTTTAATGCGCCTTCTTTTGGTTATTCCGATTATTATCTACATATTTCTGTAAAGGGGACCTTGATATGAAGTATTGTTCTATTAATTTAATATCGTCATTTTTTGTTGAGAAATTGATTGAGAAATAAATTTATAAATCGGGCCAAAGTGAACACCTCACTGAAACGGGTGCCGTTCACCGCCATAAGTTGTTTGTTCCACATTAAAGTACGTAATGTGTAATCTTCCTTGAAATGCAACCATTGGTAGTGGGTGTGTTTTCTTTTCAAACTCACACTTCAAATTCCAAATTACATTGTGGGAAAAGTGAACAGGCTAAATTACCTGTCTCTCTGAATAACACCTACGTAATAAAACAGCTGCCTTTCAAAAATAAATATTCTTTCGTAATTTTCTAGGGAACGATTTGGGAAGTAAGGCAGACAAGGACCCCTATCCGTTGGCAGAAAATTGTTTATACGTGGGTTATATGTTTGTCCCATTCAGCTCGTGTATTTCAAAATAAATTCACATATTGTTTAATTTGAACCTGTTACCGGTTTGATGAGTACATCACCAGTGTCCATGTTTCAGTTGAGGCACATTGCATAGAAATAACCCTGCCACTTTCAAAGTTAACAAAAACCCTTTAAAAAATCCGAACGATGAAACAAAAAATTTCAACGTATGTTTCTGTTATATAAGTTTCGCTTAGTGCATTCACGCGCAATATTTCACCGCAATATGAAACATACCCATCGTTCGCCTTCTCCTCTGAAGGATGTTTGTGATTTGTGGTATGACGTCTTTCATATCTACTCACAAGAAATATATTTTTATGTTTGGCTAAAAAAAGTCACGAAGGAAGTGCGACGTACGTATGAGGTCTCATTCTTTCCCTCTTCATAATTTCGAATTGTTTGTATTATGGTATCGTGATTTGATTATGAAGAAAACTATTAATTAGAAGAGATAATGATTTACATTAGCAGTGAAGATCGAATCGTGTGCCACTATCTGAAAGTTATTTTCATTCGTTTCGTCTGTTGAATGAGGAAGTAAACGCAGTGAACCTCGTTTCGATAATGAACCTTGAACAGCGCTGTTTGTGTTTCTGTCTACAAAGATCGTCAAAGATTCCAATCGTCGTGGTCCCCTTATTGAAATTATGTTCAGTGTGGCATCATCTGACAGATTACTAAACGTGGGAACACGTTTTAACTCCATGCAGAAATTATACAATCTTATGGAAAGGTTAATCTATTCCCAAATCAAATTTACCAATTTGCCAGGAGCTAACATACTAGACCATTTTTTTTATTTCTTATTTACGCATTATTGAGATATTAGTAATTATTGTATGCAATTCGTAATGTTACGTTTTTCATTTTAGTGTTTCTTAGGTGATTATAAAAAAATAATCTAGTAAGAGATTTTGATAATTTCATGTTAAAACTATTAATATTTTAGTTCTACACATGTTTGTACCTAATTTATTCACTTATTTAGAAATAAAGCTATTATTTTTAACAAGAATAAATGCTTTCTCATTGTAACAAATTGTTATCAGCGATGTCTCCTCTGCAATCACATTACTCGGGGATGCAATGAGTATATTTTAACATAATTGTTGCTGTTACTTGGTTGGAAAGTCAGAGATTTTTCTCCACTTATTGTTTTGTACAATAATGCTGTACATAATGCTAATGTTCAGGTAACATCGAAACCAGAAATTCAAAACTGATAAAAATATTTAATATTAAAACTTTTATTATCAGAAATTATTGCCCTTCTTCAACCTTACGTCTAATTCAATTAAATTGAAGAGGTTTGAATTAATTTATTCTTTCATGTCATACCAGTGAAAGTGCTCAATCAAATTTATCGACTCCATGAGACTTCTCTTTCCTTTGCTTCATGGACGGGATAGAATACCACTATACCGCAAACTCGTATATCAAAGAGTATTCTGAAGTCTATGCATAAATTGCCGGCATTGCTCTTAAGAATAATAATGATCAATTATTGATAACTGACTGACATAATTATTAAGAGTTTTTCACCCCCAGAAGGATTAGTTCCTTAACATTCCCAATGACAATTTTATTCAATAGTGTTCTTTAAAGTAAGTCTGACTGAGGGTGACTACATTCCATCAATATAGACACAGATAATACAGCAGCTAATACTGGCAGCAATAACAATTCTGTAACGCAGTGGATAATAACTCTCTCATCTTTTCATATGAGACGGTCTCGCCTGATGGCCGGAAACTGATTAGCGTGGGGCCATGTCCACTAAAAGGAGATGTAACAAGTGTATGATTATTAATTAAATGTTTCATGTGATTTCAGTAAAGAAACGCTGATGAAACTCTGTACTAAAAACCAAGCTATCCTTATAAATGACAAGTAAATAAAAGAACACATCATGAGATCCTATCGTCTTGTTTCATGACGACGCTATAATACACCTTGCGCGATTCGCTCGGGGTTATTGCGTCCCGGGCGGGCATTCGCCATGCAGCGACCGTCGTGGTGCGCAGCGCGGGCCCGGCGAGTCATTCGCTGTTATCACGTTGCGCAAGGGAGCGCGCTGGGGTGGCGCGTGGGGCGGCGCGGGACGTGACCTATATTTGGGGCTCGTGTTGCGTCGCCTCCCCCACGCACTGCGGCCCGCGCACTCCGGCTGCGTCCGGCGCCTCCTGACGTCCTCACAAACCTCGACGCTCCGGCAGACGCCCGTCGCGCCTCGGCGCCACAAACAATGGAACTGTTCTAGCAGCCCGTGACGTTCAACCCACGCTCGGCGTTCGGTGGCCCCTCCAACCC